GAATATAGAAATGTACTGGTATTAATGGGAAAAGGCCAGCCGTATTTCAGTCAAAACTGATGCAAACAACTTCTTGTGTTCACTCTCCAGCCAGTAAATCTTGACGTAAACGGCAATGTAATTTGCCATGGGCCGTTACCAGATTGACTGTCGGGCCTTCGACATCACCTTTGTCAAATAACATACTGTTTTGCTCCCGGGAACCAACCCCCGCCCCCAAAGTCTTCCTTAGGTCTTAAAAAGCCCACCCTTGCCCCTAAAGCGTTAGTGCCGACCTTTCAGAGCATGTGTCTGGCAGTCAAAGATGACCCTATGTTACGGCGAGCCTCGGCAGGGACAATTGATTCGATTTGGATGCACAGAATAGCGGTGAACAACAATCAATCAACCCCAGCTCTGAGACTGATGATCTTTTATGCATTTGCTATTGACTTTCGCCCCTTGTTCCCTAGTGTTAGTTAGATTTATTGAGCCCTTAATGCGAGAGACCCCTACGCCCATTCACAATAAGCTTGGCAAACGTTATCCGCATAGTAATTCAAGCCCTTGAGGATTGAAGGGGACTTTCTGGGGGGACTACTCAACGTGGTCTGTGATTCCTTTATTTATGAGTGTCCGAGAACTTTATAGATTTCTCTAACTTGATGCGCATTTCAGTATTTTATAGACATGATTTAGATGTAGTATTACCATGCTGAGACCGTAATGAGGACTGAACGAGCTGTTGCTTGACGGAACATAATTCTTCAGGTTTCTCAAAACTGTATTATATTTGTTATCTACGATGAAGGCACTGCGGTCTGGGGCAGACGTCGATGACGTTTATTGTACAGATCATTTTTTGTTTGGCTTGTATGTTTGTTCAAAGGATTTGCGGGAAGACGTTTGATTTGTTTCTAATGTGATTTATTATGTTTTATATGCCTATGAATTGCATTATGATATGAAAAATATTAGTTAAGAGAGCTGTTCTCCCAAGGGTCTGTACATCATTATTTGTTTGAATGTTAAAATAGCTAACAAAAAAGAATTTCACAAAACAGATGTGGCATCAATTTCCGCTGTAAGGCGCCCTGAAATAACTTCCCAAACCATGAAATATTTTAAAAATGCATTTTATCTAGGCATGTGACATTCAGTTCATCACAGAGAAATGATTTCTTTTCAACATAGAAAAACCTGATTTGATCAACAAAATTTGTTTTTCGCAAATACTTTTTGTTCTGTATGGATAACACGATAACTTTTGCGTAATGACCCTGCCACATTTCCTCTGTGGATGAACTAGGTTTTAGTAAATGTGTCTTGCAAATCACCGTAGTGCAAAGTCATTTAGTGTTCTTGTAATTCTTATTCTTTTCCAACACTTCCTCAGTGTGTATCAGTGTACCACTCTCTTGGTCGCCACAAAGTCGTTAATACCAGACAAGATTGAGGGTGCAGATTATGACAAGAACGGATGAAGATGGATCGCAGCCTGTCAGTTTCAGGTGAAATGTGAAAGTTTGACAGACATTACTGGAATCAGTTGCTAATACGAACGTGTCAGATTGTTCATTACGGTAATTGCGGTAGACCACAACGATCTAATCAACACAGTAATAGACTTATTATGTTCTTCTTATGCATTCTTCTCATTTGGACATGGAGTTGCCCATATGGACATACCATCGTCTGCTGACATCATTTTGGTCATTTGGAGAGTTTGTTCTTCTTACGAAAGCTTTCTTATACGTAGTAAAGCACAGATGCTCAATCAGATATCGACTGGCAAAGATTTTACCACTTCCAAAACACATGTACTTTTCAAGACTTTTCATTGGCCTCTTTGATGTTTTTACGCTACATTTACACATGACAATTCTAACGTTTAAAAATAGACCTTCTCCATAAATCAAGGCATAGGCACATGATTCTTTCACCCAATCTTTTGGCTTCATCGTCAGTACTATATCAGATGTTTATTCAATTACAAAGTAAAAAGCAATTAAATTTCTTCCGAAATTAATTGCGTGCGAGTTTGTTGTTTTATATCGCCGATAAACGTGGGCGTGTGCAGCCACCCTGACTGCTACCACTGCTACAATAATCATCGGGAGGACTATGACAGATTCATCAACAGCCTTATGTCGTTCAATGACGGATTATATCAGGACGACCCAATCCAAATTTACTGACAGAACGGGATTACATTCTTATTCCCGCCTTCAGTGTGCTTCTGCATTTGGGCATATAATGGCTATGGATCTTCATTCAGCGTTTTAATTAGGAAACCATTCCAGAGTCTAGTATTACCGAATCCGAGACCGGTTTGAAGCTTCCCTTCGATTCTGAAGACTTTTTATTGGCATGGGTCGAGCACCTATATACATCATCCATAGTCGAACCATATGTGACCGAGTTAGGACGGTGTGGGGAACGAAGCGGATCCGGAATCAGTTTCAGAGGATCGAAATGATGTTGATTATAATAACCGTGAATGTCCTTCTTGGCGAACTTTGACTAAGTGAATTCGAAAATGTGGAATTCAAATGGAACTGTTTTGCTTGTGATTGTCTTGCATGCTTTACCGTCTACCTGTAATAATTTTGCCACCTGAGATGTAGTTCTTCGGATTAATGGCTTTCTTTAATTATTATATGAATATTGCAGAAAGGAATCAATTCTGCGTACAGTTGTTACTGGGATTATAAACGAGAAGTGTTATTCATGAATAGTATTGTAAATCAAGGCCCTGTAGCACACACAGCCCAGTGCAATGAAAAAGAATGAGAGAAAAATCCATGATTTATACAAAGGTAAGCGAAATGGGCAAAACGCTTTTATAAATGGCCACAATCTCATTACACAATATAATATAAACCTCAGCTGATATTTTGATTTATTGAAATATAATAGGAAGGATCGATACAGATGGGACATAGCATTACGTCTATTTAACCTTCAAAACATAATTGGTAAAAGAAATAATTGGGCACGTGTTGCATTGTAGTCAGAACAGAGGGCGATTTAATTACGTCTACGCCCTTCCAATATGTTAGAAGGCTGGCGTCATGCACAGAGACAACGTTTCCAGAAGAAAAGCAGATTTTGTGTAATCGCCGTCATCATTGTCACTGTAATTGTTATTTCTTATTATAGTTATGATCATTATCATAACAAAAGTTTCAAATTTTGAGGAGGATCAGGTGGTTGTAGCATAGTTATACCCATAGGACGTGTCTCACTCACTCACTCACACACACACACACACACACACACACACACACACACACACACACACACACACACACACACGGACCCGTTATATAACGGGATTGGAGAGTTTAGAGGACCGTAACTCCAATATACGACCATCGTAGGGATGAGTTCATTTTGTAGCTGAGAACATCTCCGCCAGGATAGGGGGTAGAGTGCTTGCAGAAATCAATGTCTACTGCAACCACTTAAAAACAAACACATTTTCAAAGGCAATTTTTACTTCAGTCGAATATACTGAATCATAGGAAACAATGAAAAATAACTACATTACTGTCTCCATGGCTTCACAGAGCAGTAAAAGCAACAACAACAAAAACAAAACTCAAAAAAGCTGACCCCCCCAAAAAAAACCCAACAACAACAAACAAAACAAAACAAACAAAACATGTACAACAAACCACACTTCAATGAACTAGACAGTCTACGACAACTCGCATTAATAACACAAAGATTTTGGGGAAGAATATATATTTGATGAAATATTGAGTGTGATTATCTTGAAATGAAATGTAAATAAGAACGCCATTGCACATATTTATACCTTTGAGTCTTATCCTTTATCTGGATCTTTCTCGATTTTATTTCGGCATTGTTACCTCTATAGCCTGTATAATGCCAAGGAGTGTTTGACAGTAAAAACCGCCTATCTAAGTTACCCACACCGAAATCGTATGCACTGTTAACAAATGCAATCATCTATTCCATTATTCTGTAATGAATATAATCATAGCGGAACGGACAAATGTCTTTCATTTCTTCCCATGGCTGGATTTCAGATTGCATGAATGTGAATGGGGTGTTATTTGTTTATTGGATCCGTTTGAAATATCACTATCAACATTTACAGAGATACACTCACGGGATGATAATCTCGATCAGGGTCTTCCTTTGCCTATTATTGGCCCCCATTACGTATTTGTATAAGTGTTTTTCGAGTCGAATGATGTATGTATGTTGAATCAGATGTTCTCTTTCATCATGACATCTTCGTTTGAAAAGTTACACAGACATTTTCTATCGTTGTCACACTCAATAAGAACTCGTTTGTTTAGTTTTCCAGGCATGGTCGAGATTTACAGGAATTTCGGTACTTGCTAATTTTCAAAATTGGTAAAATGATAATTGTTTTCCAGATATTACAGTTAGATGTGTATCTACTGTGTGTGGAATCTGGAAGCATGGAGGAGTTAATGTGACACTCTATTATTAATTAATTGTTCATTTACATATGGATATATTAAAGAAGCACGTGAATATCACGGGTGCTATCAATATTTCAATATGGAATGGACCGTGAGGATATAACTGAACCTTTTCACGTGAATAAAACAAAACATAGACCAATTGAAACTTAAACCAATTAAATCTAAGTCCTCCGGACGATAGAAAACATCGAATCATTAGCAGTTAGAGATAACACGATGATGTCAAACCAATGTGTAGGTGATAGTTTCAATGAAGTACGAGTTAGCGAGGTTTCTCTGTATATATCGAAGTTGTCGATGCCCCAGCAGTGATGACGTATATTGCTCAGAAACAAAACTTGAACTAAACCAGACACGCCGACTGTCAGTGCCTTTGGGCGTCCAACGATGACCACCAAATGCTGAATTGGCATCAACTTTTTCTCATTAAACTGTCCTGGAAGTGTGTGTGTTTTAAAATACTCCCACACACAACCCTGCTAGACGTCTATATGTACCTGCATTGCATACTTAAGATATAACTTTTTATTGCAGGAAACCCTTACATGAAGGTCAAGGCTGAACAGAAGTCGACCAACTGCTCCAAGCCTTGCAGTCAACTCGTCTCCAAACAAGCTGTATCCGCCTCCAAGTTTGAATATGGAGAAAAAACATTTGTAAACAGTCCATATGAACATGCGACCCCATCACCAACAGGATCCGCGTGTTCTTCCGCCTCAGGAAAAGAGTCCGTGTCATCGGGTTCCTACAAAGAATCCTCTTTCAGTAACCATACGGAGTTATATCCACCAGGGTCGGAGAGGTATGAATACCACGTAGTTCCTTAAGTTTGGCGTATGTCACCTAAATGTTATTAGGCATTACACATAAGCACCCAACACAGGCCTAACAGATGCCTTGTCCGTGCGATTTTTTAAACCCTTCCCTTCAAACCTTTAGCTTTGTGCAAAACAATATAGGATGAGAGTTTATGCGTTGAGTTTAACAGTTATTCAGTTATATTCCTGCATGCCAACTTAATGTTTGAGAAAGGTTCAAACAAATACATGAGTAAGTTTAGTATTTCTAATCTCCAGATCTAGAACACAAATCATGGATATACACAGTCATCACATCCTGACACGGGTAGGGGACGCAACTCCGAATAACGACTCTCGTCGTTTAAGATCGTTAGGTCATCAATGGCATGTGTACTAAGATCTGGCTATATTCCCCTGTGACGCGACCATCTTATATTAGTCGACACGTACACATGCAGTAAGATCACACCCGTCAATACTGGCCCAGCTACGCACCGGAGAGGACTGTCACAAAGGACTGACAGTTCTATACAGTTTGTAGCTGCAACAGTACCCTCGACTCAGAAATACTCGAGTTCGTCGTTTAACATGGCAATTGATCTGAACATACCAGATCAGAATTCTATTCATATCACTATATTGTTGCGTGCATAGTATAATCTGTACACTCTTGAACTTTTGTACAGAAAACAGGCACAGTCTCAATTTCGTTTCATGCTTCCAAATATGATTTTGATTTAAAAAATACCAGGGATACGGAGAAATGTATGCTGCATTTTACAGATTTTAAATCCATATTGGAAATGGAGGAATTTCTGAACGTACAGTCATCCATCCGTTGTATAACCAGCCACACACTTGAAACAGTCCTCTGTAGAATACAGCAAAGTGGGGCAATGTCAACAGAAACATGGCGTCGGAAATCAGTTCTGAATTAGAAGAGATACTTTCACATTGTCAGTATATTTCCTATGGTGGGTTGCACGAGCACTTCTTCGTTGTGGCTAATTGTCATATCCACAACATTATTGGGTGTTTTTCCATGACTACATGATGCAGTTTATATTAGTCTCAATATCATTAATACCACAAAACACATATGTCACCACTAATTTGTGCAATATATAGCAATATTATCTTGTTTGTTATTTTCAGTCATTAAAATTTCTTTAAAAATGTAAATATATAGTTAACTATGTGAATTGGGTGTCCCAAGATGACAATTAACACATGCTCGCTTTCTTCTAGGGAAATTGTAACTAGTTTTAAAGTCACCTCGTATTTAAATCACCATTTCACAAGTTAATTAGTAATACAGACGGACACGCCAAATTCCATTTGCTTTAGGAAATTATGCCCAAGTCAAAGTGGCAACGACAAATTCAATTACACATATTATAAAGTCGGTAAAACTCTAAACAACTGACCCTTCTTAACCAAGTAAACAAAATAACTGAAACCTAGATATTTCGTTCCATTTCAAAAGAAGCATTACCATAATAAAGAGTTTTCAATAGTTTCAGATTCAAATGAGGACATACTCGTATGGTTTCTTTATTAAATGTTCAACTTGAGACATCGAATGATTCAAAATACATTAGTGCCTGAACGCTTGGGAACAGGACAGTCGCTATTGTGTGAGCTAATTGAGGGCCTCTTGCGGTAGCAGGGGAGTACATTATCATTGGTTAGCTAGCTGATTCTGATTCCGTGACTTTTCCTCAGACGGGTTTCTAAGAACATTTTGTTCATGTGCGAAGTTCACATCATTGTAAGTTAGGCAGTCGCACAACTGATTCCAATCCTGTATTCATATCAGAATAACTCCAACCATAAAACTGCTCGAAGCAATGTGAAGAGCCATCAACACTTCTCCTGCCAGGATAAGGGTGTTGAAATCGCGAACAAGCATATCAGGGGTTTAAATGTTGTAATTGTCCGAGATCTGATCCTAGCCATTAGGACGGAGCGTTGCAACCACCTAGGGTAGCTTTCAGTCGCCGTGGTTACCAGTTTTAAGAAGCGGCATCTCTGTGTGAAATTGAAATCTTCTCATAGAGAGGGAGAACGCGTGCGATTGCTCAAAGGTGTAATTTGTGTTAATAGTGGATATTGTAAAAGCTATGATTTGGAATCACGGGGCGAGTCAGAGCATGGATGTCGCGATGGTTTCTCTCCGGGCCATGCCGCCTCTGTCAGCTCTCGCTTTTTCTCTATTTGTCAAGCAGGCAAAAGGGCAGATTTGGCTTCAAATTGCAGTATGGGAGAGTGTCTTTGGAATTTTCTGGACCATTAATATAGTTTGATTGCACTCTCGATTCGAGGGATCTCGCAGTCCTGACGTGGGTTGTCATCACTGCCCCCGGCTACGTAAGAGAAACTCTGCTGCCGCTTGCATCCATTTGTACATGTGTGCGGCTTGCTTTAAAAAAACAAGTAATGGAACACGTTTTGGGTGACAGTTGACGATCAGTCCTATTTATTATCCGTGTTTCTTTGGTTTTCAATAATTCATAATTGAAAAAATAACCGACAGGGGTTGAAAAACAAGGCACAAATGACGTACATTTTTTGTGTGTACAAATGACGAGGACTGCTTTTTTTAGGATTTCAAGACATTTTTCTGCACATTTTTCTACACTTTTGTTGTGCAGTTTTCAAATGAAATGTTTTCTTTTGAGATAGTTATCTTTGGTTTATAAACACTCACTAATCTATTACGAAGTATTAAATAAGGCAGTTTAAAGTGAAGGGTTAATTTATCATAAATATATTGTCTTTCAGTTTATTGTCCTGCTCGTATTGCAAAGCTATGAATCAGACAACTCAATTACGACATGTCTACATCTCGCCATGTAAATAAATAAAAGCAGGGAAACAAATATCAAAGATGGTTTCCTAATTTCACTTTCATCTTGTCCTGACTTGCTAAAGAGATGTCAAATTGTCATTCAGTGAGAGCATTTCACAGGGATCATTCATACATCTGTCCTCTACATTTTTCACAACCTTGTGTGTCCCGAGATATGAGTATGTAACACCCTTCAATGAGCTTTGAATTCATCACTTTGCTATTTCCTACATCTGACTCACCTGTGCAGAAGTGACGACAATGTATACAATATAAGAAAGTTGATGATAATTGGGTGGAGCTCATGTGTGTTCTATTTCTAGATAGTTCTATTAGCAATACTGTGTAAGATACACGATTACCCTAAGGAACTGACGTATGGGATATTCTCATTTGTAAAGGTTTATTACAAGAAGATTAACACTCTGTCCCAAAATATAGGTTTAGCCTTTGGAGGATTACAGCTCTGTTGTAACTGGGAAGTGTCTCCAGATTCACTTGCCTCAACCAAGAGTATATTTGCATAAGGCGAGTTCAGCCATAATGTTACTGTATTTATTACACTGGGCCCTAACTTAGTTTTATCACTGTATAAGATGCGATGCAGATCTGAAGTTGTACGACCCACACCTCTGCCTTTTAGGCCTGAAATAACTCAAGCTGATACAAGACCGTTTCATTTTAACTAAAAAACACAAAAAATGTTAATGTGATTAACGTTTTCATTAACAAAACATAATGAACCTCAACGTTCGGACAATGGGGATTATAAAGAGAAGTATCCAATGTGTATGTTTGTTGTTTAACGCCAATATTACACATGACGGCGTTAAAGGTATACAAGCATACCTGTTCATCTGACTGGCGAGGACGTAATGTCATAATTTGCCATAGACTCAATGTATACTATAGCAGCTTCCCACAGATAGGGATTTACTGAGTGAGATATTTACTCCATATAAGCAAATATTTAAATCTGAAATTTGAGGATGTCCCTGAGAACATCCCCTGCTGACCATTAGTTAGATTATGAGAAATATTATTTTTAAATCCATATTGTAACGATGTAATGCTGAAACATCTATTTCACCTATTTGATAAGAATGACAAATAGCTTTGACTGTGATCTAGTTACAGGATAAGGTCTAGACGTCAAAATAATTGCGCCATGTGTCAAGATAAGTTATTACTTTGCGTGATCAAGAACTGTTAGTTTGGAACATATCACTATATAAGAATAATAATAAGTCATCTTCTATGGCGCACAGTCTACAAGAACCAAGTGATTGCTCGCGGCGCTTAATCAGAATCTGATTCTTATTACCCCGGAAACCCAAGCTGCCTGTTAGGCGCTAGAAGGTTATAGTCACATGACTTTATCCAACCGGGTACCCATTTTCTGCTGGGTGAACAGAGGCAATTTGGAACAAACTCACTTGCCTAAGGTGTGACCACATGTATCACATGTGCTTCGCTGATACCTGAAGCATGAAACTTGGCTTCATATACTACATTCAGTCGGTCATGAATTATTAATCATCGTAATATGACAGAATCAGGACTGTTCTTTGACGTCTATTGGGTGGTATATGGTATAATATAATTCCTATTTTGACTTGTATTACATGTAGTAGTGCTTTGTCAGGTGAAATTGGCTTGCCTTTGCATGTGTGTGTGACGGGTACCACCAGTGGTTTGAGAACACATGGTATCATGATTATTTGATTCATGAACACATTTTTATGATCGGAATCGGACTATGGACTTTCCATTTATCTAAGGTTTCTTTGGATTAATAATATGTTTTATCGTATTTATTTAGCACATCAAACCATGGTAATTGCAGTATATATATTTGACCAAGTGTATTGTCATCTAAGGATTCTGTTATTTAGTATACATGTTAAATAATTATAACATTTAAGAAAATATCTCAACAAATATAGAACATGTCCCTTAAGAATTCAAATACTGTTATTCTGTACACCCTTCTGTATTTATTCTGCCAAATTATGCCTTGCCTTCACTTTTATAACATTTAAATGTGCCGATAGTCAATTAAGAATCTGAATAACTTGAATCAGGCATGTCCGGACTGCCATTTGGCAAAGCAAAAGTTCTCATTCTCAAATTAATTATCATGTTGGATATCCACATACTGTAAACTGTAAACAAGGGTAAAGTTCTTCTGTGTTTGCTCAGTGACTAAGTGGCGTTCAACGTCTTGTTCCAAAGTATTCCATCATATAGCCATTTGCAGGGACGTGTGTTTGTGCCTGCTTGTACTAGTCCGCAACAAAAGCATATTTGACGACAAGTTTCATGCTTCAGGTATCAGCGATCTCATTCGGAACCAAGCAGCGGTTACACTACCCCTGAGCCCCGCCCACAAGCCTTCCCCAACCCCCCTCCAGTGCTGCCCCACCCCTACCATCAACAAATGCTGAAACACGACTATGAGCGGAACTACGACATGGGAAGAAATCACGGGTACCCATCTGCCCCGGCTGCTCACTCGGGATCTCTGGCCATCAAACAGGAACCACGGGAAAGCTCATTTGATGGAAGTCAGTGCTGTGGTAAGTAGTACTTCTATAACTGACTCGGTTATGATACATGTATAGTAAAGTTTGTTCTTAATAGTAATTAGACTAAGAAAAGACTAACAGTGTATTCCTTTATTCTAATGTGTAATCTCCGTTCACTACCCGATTTCAGTAGCTTCATGATAAAAATATCCGTCCAATCAACGTATTCTCGCGAGCGAGAAACTTTCTGTGCAAAGCAGGAATAGAACTCGAACTTCCGGACCTTTGATGGGAAATGGGTCGAGGGTAATTATTAATCAGAGGAAAAGGTGTTCTAAATATTTGAGGTTACCACGTCTTAAGTCTAAATGTTGTTCTCCGTTTTAAATATTGGAGGCCTTACTCTACTTAGAAGTGTCCTTTTGAATCAGGTCTCAATTTGTCAGAGATGAACAGTCGGTAGTTTAGGAATCAGCAGATACTATTTTTAATGATCCATTCGTTTAATTTCATCACGTTTTTACATTTTCGACCCATTGCAGTCCGTTTCAGGGCAGAATTTTCTTTGGTGCTTACTATGTTTATTTGTCAATATATGTATATTTTTAGTGCAATATTGACAAACGTACATTTGTGTTTATTCTTTCTGTCATGTATCATATAAGATGATGATGATGATGTCGTGATGATGATGATGATGATCGAATAAATGGTAAAGCCTGAGATAATAATGATTTGATAAATGGTTTGATAATGTTATATTATTTTTTACAGTTGTTCTGTTCAATATTAAAACTATAACAAACACAGATAATATACACAACAATGGTAATATTGAGATGACATGAGGTGCTCCTTTAAGGGATATATAATTTCTTGGTACACCCATTCTTAAGCATCGGCAATACAAAAGCTATGGTATCTATCAACCTGCCCAAATCCAGACCTTCCCAACTGTTTAGATTATCTTAAGGGCCAACAAGTTTTCCCCTCTTATGTGGGAGGATTTTCAATGACTTAGTTCCTGTCTGAGGTCACTAGAGGGCGACACCAGCTTTCTTTTTCACCTCCTTGTCTGAAGAGCACAGTTTGATCTTGGTTCTATTTTGTATCATGTTTTTGTGAGTTTTTTCAAGAACTACAATTGTGTATAGAGCCCAAATTCACCAAAGAGCATGAAAAAGGTGTTTTGCTACGTTTGTGTTTCAAAGTAGACTCTGTTCTCGTAGAAAAGATTTATTGTGATAAATTTAGAATGTGAAGAAGTCGTACTGAATGGTTGGTAATTAATTTACAATTGCAGTAGCATTTAGCTGATTAAAAAACACCTCTTGCCCTGGACCAAATACAAACTGTAGGCGGATGTATTCCAAGTGAAGTGCTTGCATATGTCGAGCAAATTGTACATGTTTCTACAAAATGTTCCTGCGACTCCAAGCACATCAAGTCATCAATCAGTGCAGATATTAATCAGGACCTTGTGTTAGAGAAACACACCAGCACTCTCATCCACAGATCCCATTAAATCCCAAACTTTAACAAGGGCTATTTGTCTCAAGTATTTCATGTATACAGGCCATTAATGCCAGGGAAGCTTCCATCACCACACACACAGGAGATAAAGGGGCATATCCCCTCCACCTTTAAAAGTATGTGAAACTGAAAGTAAAAATATCAACCCACCAAAGTTACAAAATCAATTTGAATGATTCTTTTTAAATTTCCAAATCTCTAAATCAAGTTTACAAATACTTGGTTTGGATCAGATTATGGTGTTCATGTTCAGTACAATGTTCAGTACAATGTTCAGTACAATGATACTACCAACACTGCTAAATTGAAAAAACATGATACAATATCTAAACAATTTGCTTTTGAGAACTATCATTGAGCTTGAATATTGCCGACTAGGTTCTCATATTATGAGTCATATTATATTAAGTCAGAATAATAGTTTAAGGATTAATATACTGTAATGTTTATATCCGTTAAAAACACTTTTGAGTAGTATGACGCAGAACGTAATTCAAATTGCGGATGTTTATATCAGCAGTTCTTGAGCAAGGTTCATGTGTTAAATGGATGTTCAGGCCATGACAAGATACTTTTTTGGTGTTATTTTGTATGTCTGCAATGAATTCATAAATACAGAAAATGTTACACTTTAAACAAACTTAAAACCATCATATACTTATGAGCACTAAAAGTATACAACAGTGAGATGCATGAACAGAATTACTATATTACCATATACTCCAACAAAATAATCTTTTATTCACCAAGCAAGTTATTTAGTTGTACAAGTACAAGTTGTATAAATGTTACATCTTCACCTATTGTTTTGTTCCTCATTTCACTTTGTCATCCAGCCATGTTTCAAACAGTTTATTGCTGACATATTTCATTTAGTTTTCCAGCTGATCTAGTTTTCTATCTTAGTGCACTAACAATCACATCATACTGTGATGAATGTCAAGTGTCATTGACAACTGGTCCCAAAGCAGATTGTTATAAATAATTATGATCGTGATTTATCAAATATTCCTTTTTACCAACTGCCCACGTATTTTACAGAATTATGACCATTTTGTCAATGTCTGCTGTCAAACTGTACGTCTAATTGAGATTCTGTGGTTATTTTGGATTTCATAATAATGTATTCTGCATCAGACTATTTATATTCATTGAAACATGTACATATATTCCATGACAAGCTATTCATAAGTTAATTGTGGATTCACCTGATCTGAGTTTCATAAAAAGATAACTTAGAAAACCCAACGAACATGGTTTGATCAGGGCCCATTTTAGTCACAATTTGGCCAAACATTAGTAAATGAAAAATGTCCTTTGAAACCACTGACTGACCCCTGTCTTTGTGTCTTTAACACTTTCTAGTTTTGAAGAATAATGTCATCAAGTTCAGTGGTGTGGCAAACAGATGTGGTACCAGCCATTTCATCCTTCTTTAGAGAGCCTTATATATTCCCTTAACAAGTGATACATCTAACATATATGTTCAAATATACCCACTTCTGTCAATTGAATACTTGCTATGAATTTCATGACTAATAAAGTGTTTAGATCTCCCCCATTCTAAAATTGGTCATTTAAAGAAAAAACAGTCTTGTTCCCAAATCTGTGTTTTTTATATTATTTAGGTAGAAAGAGTTTTTATCACACCACATCAGTTGGAATATTTTGAAGCGGTTCAGATTATATACCTTAAGTGCCAGGTAATGGCTTTACTATAGTAGCATAGGACTTGGATGGTCTCTCTATATTGTCACTGGTTGTGTGTCATTTTTCATGAAAGGGTGGGTTGTTGCTCATTCTGTTGACCACTGGGTCATCTTGTTCAAGCATTTTTATTTACTGGTGATAATTCAGTTATAGCATGCCAGGCTGAGTCAGAAAACATTATCACTCTAGTGTTTGACTTGCTGAAACTGGATCTGTCCCATGTTTTGTTATTTTTCTGAATTCATAACTGAAACCACAAACATAAATGTTTAAAGCAATTCCTTATCCTGTGTTGTACATTTATCAAAAGGAACAATCCAGTTCCTGTCAGGGATTGGCAACACATTTCCACAAGATGTTTTATGAAAATGCATAAACATATCATAGATGAATAAAAAAAATTAATTAGTTTCAAATGTGGAGCAGATATCAAGTGAATATGAAAACACTGAACAATATACACAGGAAATCTTGGCCCAACTTAAATTCAATTCCAACATCCCAACAAAATAGGGACAAACAGAACGAACACAATTTTCACATAATTAAAGTTATATTACCATAAATCAAAATTCAGTCTTGAAGATTTTACCCTCTTTCAAGCCTTTCTGAATTTTGATCATATTTTATGCTGGAATCTAATTAAAATGAATTAAAATAAGACACCGTAGCAATATGGGTCTAGTTTTTCAATTTACGGGGATGAAGAAGATGGAAAGGGATGAATACTTCTAGGTAATCCAAGTGTGCGGTGGAGAATGGAACGATGTCTGATTGTATAGAACGCTGCCCATGTAATTGAATTAAGCCTGATGGTGAGAGAGCATATCAGGTTTTGAGATATTGTGAGAACTTGTCTTTGATTCAGGGATAGAGTATGAAAGGCTCACAACTGCTTGTTAATTTGTGGCTACAACAGACACATGTGGGCTTAAGAAATCATTAGTTGAGGAGTACAATCCTCTCCAAACTACACCATTGATCATGAAGGATATTTGAATGGTGCTAAAATTAAATTTATAATGTGATTAATCTTGTTTTACATTGTATAATGTAATTTAATTTTTTTAAACAGATCATATTGATTAAGTTTTTTTGGTAATAATAAGATAACTATACAGTTGAATAATCTTTCATGTTCAATTTGGTAGTCTGTCATATGGACCCTGAAGCAAATATATCGAATGCCGCTCATGCAAGTCTATGGTAGTTGTCAAGTCTTAATTATTTCCTTTACTGAAAGTGAAGGGAGTCTCTTGTCTCCTGTTCATTCCCCCACTTGAAAAAACGAAGTGGGGGTTTTCAGTTATTGAAGCAGAACTATTAAATAAATATTTCTTCTGAAAATTTGGTACACAGTTCACTCTAGTGGTAAAATAGTTTGGGATTCTCTTTCATATTCAATTGAACTTATATTGTGCTTATTTCAGGAGCCGAGCTCCTAAACCGTTGAATATCTCAAGGTGAAACTTGCTATTAGATCAGTCCTGTAGTGAAGTGGTGCCTTTTGATGATTTGGGATTTTTATTTTTATTGGGTTTTTTTCATGTCAAGTTGGACTTTACTAAAAATTGTTTATGAATATGATTACTGCTTTTGATTTGATTTAACAAACCAACATTTTTCTTTTTCTTGTTCATATGGAATATACTCTCAGTTATTTGTATTACTCTGTATCCCAAACTATTGTAAGAAATAAGCATGATATAAGTTCTGTTACAATATATAAATTTATGTCTCAAAATAAATATTATATTGCATTTGTGTCTCTAACATTCCTCTACAAATCACATCAGATTACAGCTGGCTCACTGGTCTGTAATTGTGACTGATGTAATGCATCAACAGGGAGCAGTCCCTTCCTGAACTCACTCCGCCAATATCTAGATGCTGACTATGATCATATTGTTATGCAAGGTCTGGCGTTTAGTAGGTTACAGTTGGTCTCGGTTAAAGAAACTAGGTTATGTCAAGTTTATAAGGCATCACATTATCAGGATGTTAGGGCACTTTCATCATGTATTCGTTATGAGAATTAATGTTGTGTTTAGGTAAGAAGAACTCACTTTACGTTGAAATTAGAGAAACTGACATGTTATTGAAAGCATGGTAGGTTATGTTATATTGATATTGGAAGGACTCTTTGTTGAGTTAGAGGGCCTACATGAGGCACTCAAATTAAAGCTTAGATGCAGCCAACAAAATAAACATAATCAAAACACAATTGTCATTTATTCATGACATATAATATACATTGCTGATTATGAAAAACCAAATAAACAAAATTATAAGCATACATTCGCAAATCAAAAGTGCAATATTTTGTACTTGGGTTTACTACCCTCGAAACGAAGTATCCGGGATACTGAACCCAGTCAGAGCTGGTGGGCATGCACTTAAGTGTAATGAAGTCTTTCATTGGCTGGTTCATTTGCCGATACCCTCAGGGCTCTTTGTGTGTGTATAGGCATCCTGGTTCAAGCCGTGCGTACCTATTCACTGCGCATGCGCTATGTGCGCTGTGCAGTGACAGCTGTTGAAACCACTTTTCACCCCAGCTGGGGTTATTTTAGTGAATCTTTTGAACTCTGATTTCGCGGAATTTTTTCATCGCGTTATTTTTCAACTTTATAAGTTGAATTTGCATTTTTTGATATTTTGTTACTGTAAGGTATCGAATCTGCAAAGTTGTGTTTTGTGTTGCATATAAGCTTTAAGTTGACGTTTGAGGGACTTTCATTGTCTTGACAAGTTAGAAGGATTTATGTTGTATTGATGTCAGATGAAATGTTATTTTGGAGTTTGGAAGAGTCTCATTATTTTGAAGTTGGAAGAGTTTATCATAGTTTGTGTTGACTCAAATTGTTTTCTAAGTTAGAGGGACACATTATACTGAGGTAGAGGCACTCAAATTATGTTGAAGTTAGAGGAACTTCTGTTTCATTGAAGTTAGAGGAATTCACATATTTATAATTAGGGGGACTTAGATGGAATAGAAGGCATTCACAATTCTTTCTAACATGAGAGACACAATTTAGAAAGGTACGGTATATGTTGTGTTGAAGTAAGAGAAGATATTGTGTTGAAATTTAGGGGAGTTCACAGTCATTTTGAAGTTAGAAAGGTTTATGTTGTGTTGAAGTAAGAATGAATATTGTATTGAAGTTCAGGGGAGTTCACAGTCATTTTAAAGTTAGAAACGTTTATGTTGTGTTGAAGTAAGAGGTACTCACATGATCCTAAAATTGAGAGGTGCTACATTATCTTCAACCTTAAAGGCTTAATGTAACCAGCTCAGTGAGTGTGAACACTATTGTGTGCAAATGAAATAAGTGTGTACACTGTGTGTTTTATGTTGTAGAAAGTCTACGGCCCTGTCCTACCTTCCCCAGACCAGACTTCACCAACCATGGCAGTCCTCAGGAAGGTGAGTACTTGTCTTTGTGTTATTTTAATTAGTCATGTCATATTATATATTAAACCAAAACCTATTTTCTAATCAAATTTTCTTTCTTACAAGTGCAATATTTGGTCAAATTTTATTCTTCCAAATGTGTGAAAGACTAATTTTGGTTATCATTCAATGTAACTGTAAGACATGTATTTGATAAAAAGTTGACCATCTTTTGTGCTGTTGATATTGTGGTTGCTGTGTTTCTAACTCTCAAATGCTGTACAGTACAAGGAAAATCAAATCAGTTTAGAACTATAATTGATTTGCACATTATAAGACACAACTTGTCTGGTCTACATTTGTGAAAAATCAAATCAAAATAAATATCTTTAAAATCTTTGCTGAGTTGTGAACAAAATCAGTTGTAAAATTAATGATTTCATCAAAATTGCTGCAAAACCATACTGACGATTTGACTGAATGAGTTTTATATCCAAAAGTTAATGTCCAATTCCTTATTTCTAGGAATGCCCTACCCGTATGACAACACAATGCGATTTTTCTATCACGACGAATCAGCATACTTCAGTCATTTGAGAGAAAAACATAAAGGTTAGTGACTTGAGTTCATGTTCACCATAATCTCCCTGACATCAGGTCCTCCCGTCAAGGGAATGAAGAAAACAGACTCACCTTTGTTTCAGAGTACTGTCGACATGGGTCTACTATGTAGGGCTGCGCAATATAACCAGTTTACCGACATTTACCGGTTCAGACATGAAAACGATACATATTGCGTTACGCTGATCAAAAACCAGTATTTTGACATGCATTCGGAAAAGTTCGTAACACTCGGAAATCTTCGGATGTTTCCGTTTTTTTAATTCTTCCTTTCCTTATTTGTGGCAACTATTGTTTATATTTTTATTAAAGCTTAATCACGCATACTCATTTTTTGTGTTTTTGCTTTATAAATCAAGCATTATTCGATTATAAGTAGTCTTTTTTTTAAAAAGAACTTCTTGCAATATATTGCAATACATATCGCAATATATGCTTTCTCATCGCAATATATCGCAATATGAAAATTCTCTGCAATACCCACCCCTACTACTATGTACCCATCCTGAAATAGCTGGACTTTTGTTGAAAGTAGCATAAAACAATATTCAGCCTTCTACTTCCTGCATGCCTGCTCCTATTTCTACAGCTCAGGGCCCCCATTCTACAAGGCAGTCTTAATGATACGATTAACCCTGTGTTTACCCTGTGAGTTGCAATGACCTTAGTGCCGAGATATACCTTAATGTCCAGACCCCAACTTCTTCTGTCAACAGGGACCTTTGGCGCAAACAGTTTTAGTGCAAATACAATGTTATATTTGAATTAATAAATTCAGTTAGGGGATTATTATTAAAATGGTACACAACAAATTAGGGGTGAAAGCGGTATACCGCGGTATTAGTAGAACCGCTGTATTTTTCCTTCAGTTCGGTATACCGTAATGTAATCCAAAAATTCGGTATTTTCGGGTTTTGTACCGTCATTTTGTTAACCTTATTAAACCATTTAAAAAATGTCTGGAAGTCGAACCATTTTGTCAAAATCTATCTAGGTTTGGCTCAATTTTCTGCATTGTCATCATATCTCATGAACCGAACCGAAACGGACCGAATACGTACCGTACCGTGGTAAGAGAGTACCTTTTCACCACTACAACAAATTAAATATGTGTACAGAGATTTACTGTCAGTGAATTAATCTAGTTCAAGCCTTGATGAAACTAAAACATTTTTGTTAAAATTTTACAACTGTAATCATTTACCCTTTCTACCCTATTGTCTTCTATGATATGTATACAAAACCCTGGCATATAAAGTTTTGGTTTGGTAGGGATACTTATAAGGATTACTAAATTTTGATCTAGAATTTGGTCAGGGTCACTTATTCGAGGTGGGTGCTCAATATAGAACTATGGTAGTAACTCCCATACTTTTATGTAGGTATAAATGGACTTGTTTAAAGGTGAAGTCATGAACAGTTTGTGAGTGCATAGACATATGATGCTCCATGATACAAGTATTGTATTAAGATATCATGGTTTGATACAAAATGATATAGGAATATAGAACTTTATATCATATATGGTTTGAAAGTTTAGGACACTATTTTCTTTTGGCAAAACACAAATTGTCTGTCTGTTGTTAGTTTGGTTAAGTGAGTGGATATGACATTACATTAAGAGACACCAGAAATGGGAGAGAGAGTATGTGTATATATGTACAGCCATATATCTCAAATAATTAAAGTAAAATTATTCTTAAGACAAAACATTCTTTTCATGCCTGGATGTTCTGTACAGGCCATTTTTATCCGTCTCATTCTGTCTCACATGCATGTACACAGACGTAAAATAATGAACCATTTTGAAACAACAGGTCACAGGGATGGACTGACACATCTATTTTCTGTGATATAATACAACTTGACAACACTCAATAAATAAAATGACAACTATTTATATCAAGTATCATTTCTAGAGAAAAAAACAATGAAACTAATTGTGCCTTAAGCTACTAAAACAATCGTGAAGCACTTTCCATATTTTCACATCGTAAATTGGTCATAAAGCTGTCCATTGAACAAACAGTTACCAGGGACTGACATCAATATAATCTTAATCACCCAGTCCTTTCCTGACAACTAACCCAACAGCATAGATGATCCAGGCTGTCAGATGAGTCGTGTCTAGCTTAGATGAACAATCAACTGTACATGCATGTTTTCCTATTGCAAAGAGAATTTCTCATGAATAACAGGGTGATATTTGTTTTGAGGTGTCAGTGAGCATAATGACGTGATTCTTGCTGTTACTGTTTTTATCAAGGAACATAACTATATAGTCTTCATGTACTCTTCCACTCGTGTTATAAAATTGTGATAAAAACAAAAAAAATTACTGGAAGAAAAGTAATGCTTGTAAATATGTAATCAACAGTGTGTGTGTGGTCAATCGATGTGTGAGTGAATGTGTGATATATGACATAATTTGATAGTGATGGTCATTCAAATAGAAGTCATACATTGCATCCATGTGTGGACTTGAACCAAGGTCTTTGTCATGACAAGTGAACACTTACACCACGAAGCCACTCAACCTCACATAAACAGACATATAATGCATCATATACCTCTGTGTTCTGTACAACAGATTTCATACTTTTTTGTCATAAATAAACATTAACAATTATGAAAGTATGTGTAAGTACATTTGAACAAAAATCCAACCATTTAACAAAGTTTTCATGTTTTGTTCTTCCTACAAAGTACCTCTGACACGCAGTTTGGTTATCACCCTATTTGAAATAATGAAAACTATATAATTAAAGTTATTATTGAAGAAATACACTGATGAAAGAAATTACAAGAAAAGTAGATTTTGATGCCCACAATTAAAATACAAATGAAATTTTCCTTCCAATAAACTCGTCTGTGCCATTATTCTCAGACCGCCAAGGGTGGTTAGAATTGCATCCTCGTAATGTCTTTAACCTGGAGAGAAAGACCTTTGTTGGAGACAGTTGCACTTTGCAGGTGCAGGGTGATCCATGAATTTTGATCCCCGTGTAATTAGAACACCCATGGAATAAATAATATTGCATTGTGCCATGTGATTGATCACTTTAAAATGTTTATTGCTTCATAAATCTGAAATAATTTATAATAGGACAACCTTGTTTGAATGGATTGTTAGCCAATTCGGTTTGTAATATATTGAATATATTTGAAATGATATTTTGATGATGTAGGATAAGTTCTGATAATATTTTTGCTTGCAATGTGAAGAGGAGCAGATAAAGTTAATGAACTTCATCATGTGTTAGGTAAAATAATTTTGGGTACAGATATATTAATGAGATATATGTATATAGTTCTGTCTTGGCGAAACCAGTTCAAGTTACTGTATTGTTTTGCACAGGTTCTCGGTGAAAAGCCCAAGATGCAGAGAGACCAAAGTTTGTCAGGATTATTTAATGTTACTTTCCTTGTTGGAGAGGTTTTACATTATTTTTTACACAGAATATTTTCATCCAAAATTGACATTTTTCATTTATATTTCTTCCCTGGTATAGGAATTCATCAGTCAATTAAGGGAGAAATTTAACTGGCCTTAAAACAGTTACATGCAGGTATTGTTACAAATGGGAACAATTTTGAAAAAATGATTGTACTTTTTAAATAGTACAAAAGTGTGACATGCTTTGGTGATTTAGACTGTAGTTTAATACGATGTTAACAGGTTCGAAATAATTTTTGAACCAATTTTCTCTGAACTCCTACAGTGTTTAAATGCTATTGTGCACACACCTTCACAGCACCGACAGCGAACAATAACCTGCACCTAACATTAGTTGCGTTCATGTTAATGTCAAGTGCACACCTAGAAAGCCTCTCAGTATGACTATTACTGCCATGTCGATGATAACGTAATTTGCCTATTTTGTCAAATTCTACTGAGTAACACACAGAATATGACTGCCGAATCACGATACTCTTCGTTCATTAGAAGTAGAGCTAGTGAAAAGACCAGACTGGGCCAGTGCATTTATTGTGCTGCCTTGATGGTCGTTAGATGCCAAAATTGACCCTATTTAGTGTAATTATGAATAATTAATAACTGGTAATCAAACGTTATGTTTGTAGTGATTGATAGGGCTAAGAGCTGAGGGGGATGTAGAGGATGTGGGATTTGCAGGTTACACGGAAAACATGAGTACAGAAGCTGTTCCACATTGATTTCAACACATGCATCCCATAAAATACAGTTAAACGATGTCAGGAAAATTTGCCATTTACCTGGAGGAAGAAAAAATATTCACAATGGGTAGTTAAGAGCTTTTTAACAAGAAAAGTCCTTTGGCTTTTAATCATAAGCTTAGATATGACAGACACTGCATCGTTGCTCTTTTGAAGGGCCTGAAATCAAAGGTTTCGCAGTCTGCAGCAATGGCCAATGAAACAAAAATGCTGTCAACGATGAAAAAAATCTTTATTGATCTCAACAGTCCCCTACAAACAATTTTCCTGAATTGCTGTTTGATTTCAGTTTTTCAACTGAACATGTTTATCTGTCCTATATTTAAAATAGCTCCTACTGTCAACTTCTTAATGTAAAACCAGTCTTGACAGCTTTTCTTTATGTAGATGGCACATTGTGGTAAACTTTTGTGAAGTTTTCGTAGTGTACAGGTCAAGAATTTTGTGCTCTACACTGTATTCTACTGTTTAATCTTGAATGTCTGTAAATTAAAAAATATGCAGTTCATTCAAAGGCAATGACTTTTATCCAAATGTTATAGTTATATTTTTTGTTAAAACTGTGCAAAGAGTCTTTTTTTATAATTAACCTCAAATCAAACCCAGCACCTTCTTTTCCGTCGCATTCTTTTTCCTTTGGTGTAAAGAAAAATGGAGAGAAGTTTAAAAAAGGAATTAAGCCAATCAGAATAGAAAACAATAAAAACAACAACATTTTAATACCTGGAAAAATTTAAAGATTTGTAACTTTAGAAAAGAGTAATAAAATATAGCCTATTTAAGATAAGACAAAA